AATTCAGTTGATCATAAAAAAATGCAGGATCTTTTGAGTTAATCGAAGAAGTGAATTTTCCAGAAGAATCATTACCCCACTTGGCAGATTCAATAATTACCAATCTTCTTGAGGACATTAATCAAAATACAAATCTAGCGGTTGTTAATTTTGAAAAAATTAAGAAAAGTTTGATTTCAATCAGAGATTCGAAATTGAAATTATCACCTAAAAATGCAGAAGGTATCATAGTTTTATGCTTAAAAGACATGGGATATTTGGAATCTAATACTGACTAATCTCCTTAACTATTTATTTCAATAAATATTATTCATCAACAGAATCAAATTTTGTTTATTCGCACAATCATCGACATTTTTAGAATAAGTTTTTAGTATTTTTTGTCAGATTGAAGTACTTCCATATTCACAATGGTTTATGTGTTTTAAAATCTAATATTTCACATTTATAGCAGTTTATGTAATTTGATTTCATCAAAGTTTAGTAATATCAAGGAATTTACACCCATATTTTAGAATTTGAGATTATCTCGATGATTCATGGTTACAAGCAGAACTTTTAATAATAATAGAATATTATTTCTCTAGCAAAATCATTAATTCCAAAATTTTGGTTTCTTACAACATACGTATGTTAAAATATTATTTTTTATTTCATAATAGTCATCACTAACTGATCGATAGTAAATCAAATTTTTGATGGTATAATCTGTGTAGCAAATACTCAAAACTATATCTAATACTATGGAACGATGTCTCATATAGAATAATATTTGATAAATCAATTTATTTATCAACTTCAGTTTTTTCTATAACTTAAAATCAATATTTATATCTTTTCAATTTTCCTGGATATTGTAATCCTATTTCTAGTTTTATAATGGAGAATTATCGCACCAACAACTGTCAGAATGAATGAGTATACCAAGATAATGCATATACAAGGCCATACGCCTATTCCTGAAAGTCCGAAGCTGGAAATAATCTCCTCTCCAGATTGGCCATTGTTAGTGGCTCCAGTCAATTGGTTTTGAATCACAGCTCTAAAAGCATATTGAACAGGTGAAATCCACATTATCCATCTAACAAATGCTGGAATTGTGGATGGTTGGCTAAATCCTCCACTATAGAGAACAAATAATATGCTAAACGTAATTCCAAGTGCCTGTGCAGTATCTGGTGTTGATGAAACTGTGCCAACAGTCAGTCCTAGTGCAATTCCAAAAACACATTCGCTAATCAAGATGATGAGAAACGTAATATACCTGAAAAAGTTATAATTCAATCCAACAATGTAATATACACAGGTTATGTATGGAATCTCAAAGCATAGTAACGTTAGGAATTCAGAAAGAAATTTAGAGTAATATGCCTCATATCCAGAATAAAATCCCGACTGTCTTTCTCTTGTAATTATTTTAATTTCCTGAGGAAATGCATTTAATAATGGCCCGCTTATTCCAAACAGTTCATTTATTACCAGAAATGTGAGAACTCCTCTAAAAGTGTATAAATTGACTGTAGAAATATTAAGTTGAAAAAATGTAAACCCAAATAAGAAGGCAATAAAAACCCTCTGTGCTCCTCTCACTCTCATATATGAAGAATTTCTAAAGATATTTTTTAGATTTCTCATTATTATATTGGGTATAGTGATCCTAAAGCCCTTTCTTGGTGGACATTTTATTCTATTCAATATTCTCGGCTGGGTTTTTCTCTCAATGCTACTCCATTTAGATTTCAAGGTATCAATTGTTTTAATACTCTTTTTCGAAGCATCAGGAGATCGATAATCAACTGCTATCGTGTCTAGAAAGTGGTCAGCTGGGTTGGTATTTTCAGGGGTCTGAAATCCAGCATTATTAAAAAAATGGATGCAATCGTCTATGGCTCCATCAAAAATAACCCCTCCAAGTGACATCAAATAAATTTTATCAAAATACTTTAGCATTTTGTATGAAGGCTGATGAATTGTGACAATCACGGTTTTACCCATATTCGATATCGTTTTCAATAACTCTAAAATGTTAATTGCATTAAAAGAATCTAGACCACTGGTTGGTTCATCCAAAAATATAAGAGGCGGATTCCCAATTAATTCCAACCCTACACTTAAGCGTATCTTCTCCCCACCACTTAATTGGCTCACATATGTATTTCTCGAATTGGTAAGACCCAATAGACTTAGTAATTCGTTAGTTCGGCTATATGTCTCCTCACTGGTAAGACCCTTCTCGATGCATGCAAAGGATAGGGTTTCGAAAACACTCTGTAATTCGTACGATTGAAAATTTTGATTTACATATGACATAATTCGTGGCCATGATTCTGGATCTCTATTGCCTCCATTCAGCAAAATATCTCCATTCAAGCTTAATCCATCCATATTCCTCCCAGCTAAAACATTCATAAGTGTGGTTTTTCCTGCACCACTGGATCCCATAAGAGCTGTCATCGTCCCAGGACTGATTTGACCATTGATGTTATTCAGAAGTTGTTTTCCTTTTGATGTTGTTAAAAGTATATTTCTCCATGTAATTTCTGCTTGCAGTTCTTCGGTTTTCATCGGGGAATAAAATTTGAAAAGTTTTTGAAGTAAGTATATTAATTCCAAAATGTAAAATTTTTAGAACAAGTTTTATGATAAATATTTGAATGGTATTGGTTGATATAATACTTATCCAAGCCATAAATTAGGTTTTGACAGTTTTAATCTAATTCTGGTGTTTATTTAGCTTTAATTTACCGATTATAAACATCAAAAATTTTGACAATAAAAAGAAAACACACTGATAGTTAATAAATGAACATTTAGTTAAACAAGCTATGTTATCACGACTCATAAAAATCTTTTAAGGTAATTTATATATCAAAATTCGTAAGAAAATAATTTGCTCCTTTTTTGATTAATGGGTGTCTCTTTTTACTTTTACGTGGTGCTTCAAAATACTCTTCAATATCCTCAATTGAGTATCCCATCCTCGCCAAAGCTTTCAAATAACTTTCTATTTTCTCTTCTTTTCCGAATCTTTCCAACATTTCTTCTACTTTGTTCAAAATATCTCCAATGCTGAAATTTTCAAAGAATTCCCTTTGGGATTTTAATTCTGATGCTTTTACAAACCTTGTGGGAACTTGATCCTGAACAATGCTTTGAGATTCATTAATTGGAATGTTAGAGATATTCGTTAGAGATCTGTTCGAATAAATACCATCTTCATCTTTAAATGTCTGTTCAGCTTCATAGTTTTTGTCTTCAAAAGCTGTATTTCCAATATCTTTAATAATCATGGAGTTAAGTTTATTTAGTTCCTGGTTAAAAATAGAACCACATCCATTACATGATCTTTTGAGAATTCCATCAATAATTACAAATTTTGTTTCCGGATTTCTACATTCTCTACAGAGCACAAAGACATCTATAAAGTCGTACAATATAGATCGGAGCCTCAGGTCCTCGAAATTACCATTTAGCACAAACTTCTCATTAATTTTGTCGCTTTTCCCGGAATTTGTAATCTGTGTACACCCCAAAACATTTCCCATAAATTTCAAAATGTGATTGGGATCCCTAAAGAGTGATTTCGATATTATATTGAGATTTTTCAGAATAGTTTTGTTTGATTCAAAAGAAACTACCAGTTCTGGCATTTGGTATCTGTAAAACTTATCATTTGTAGATCTGTCAATAGGAATCATTTAAGGGTTATGAAAATGCTTTAATTTTCTCTTAGTATAAGAATTTATGACTCATATTGTAGTATTTAGAATATTAGTTTCGTAAATCCTTTATCAGTTCTCAAAACTGTTGGGATTTACTTTAGTTGATTAATTAAGTTCTATACTTAAACAGAGTTTTTGCAATATATGACACTAAAACTTGATTGTAGTTTTGAATCAATTATATAATGATTTTAATCATCCCAATCCCTATAATATGAAGGATGAACGTACTTAATTTCCAAGATAGCCGGCATAACTTCTTTAATTGTGAATGTTATATATTTATTGTGATAAAAACTATGTTTGCCATCCATTGTTGTGATTATTTAATGATCCTCATTAAAGTATGCAGCACTATTGTTTTTAAATTAACCTTATTGAGCTGATGGGATTTTTTTGAACAAACCATAAATACTTGATCTCCCCAGAATGTCAAAAAAGTTTTGTATAAAAATTTCTAGAAAAACTATAGATACTTCAAATTATAAGAAGGAAGAAAAATGTGTCAAAGATGAAAACTCCTTTATGCCCGGTATTCCGGAAAGTAATATAGATGAAAATATTCAAAATAAACTTAGAACTCAATCTAAATCCGAGCATGATGGATCAAAAGGATCTTATGAAAATGCTATTGAGGACATAGCTATAAATAAGGAAAGTAGTAATGTCGAAGTTCTTATAGATGATTCCATAGAATATCTTCTCCAGTATAAAATTGATCCACGCTTTGATATTTCTATCTATAAAAATGGAGATCCTCCTCTAAGAAAATTAAGAACTCCAACAACTGCAGAGATAAAGAAAATTAATAAAAGGAAATCCGACGATAATGGAATTTATAAAATACACTCTGAGCTATCCGAACTAGAATCTAAGGTTTGTGCAATTGATTTTGAGGAATCAAGCAAAGAAGGGAGAAATTCCTTCTTTGGGTGCGGATCAACCCCAGTTCTTATGAAACATCAGAAGTATGGAGTTGAATGGATGAGAAATAGAGAGAACTCTTATATCTCTGGTGGAATACTTGCAGATGAAATGGGTTTGGGTAAGACTATTCAAATTCTTTCTCTGATTCTATGTGGAACCCCTGACCAGTTGAATTTAGTTGTTGTTCCAGCAGTAGCTTTGGCTCAATGGGTTTCAGAAATTGAAAATCATTTCCCTATCCATTTTGAAATAATAAATTGTCACTCTACGAAGATCAAGTCGAAATTTACTAAAAAGATGTATGCTTTGAATTCGGATGTCCATGAAATTGATGGTTGTAAAGTAAATAGCAATGACCCAGTGAATTATACTAAGAATGAGTGTGACTTGAAAGTTTTCGAAGGCACGAGTAGGATTAGCCCCATAAAAGACAATTTAACCCTACAGAAGCTATATATAACTACCTATGGGACTCTTGAGAGCCAATATCGCAGAAAAATAAGCAAATTACACGGGATTGACTTTTACAGAGTTATTCTTGATGAGGCTCATTGCATAAAGGATGCATCCACTAGTACGAGCAGGGCTGTATGTGCTTTAAAAGCACAGAAGAGATGGGCTTTAACAGGTACTCCTTTGCAAAATAGGGTAAACGATCTGCTGTCGCTATTAAGATTTCTTAATGTAGATCCGCATGGATACTACCTCTGTAAAAAGTGTAACTGTAAAAGCAACAGCTGGCTAAGAAGACATGAAATAGATAATGACTCTACTACAAACAACAATGATAATGCCATAGAGGTTAATTTGTCTTCAAATAACAGAAATGATAAATTAAATCCCACCGCTTTTGTTGGTAGTCATTTTTGCAAGTGTGGTCATTCAGCCTCATCTCACTTTGGATGGTGGAATAGAAATATCTCAACTCCAATAAAGGATTTTGGCCATACCGAATATTCAGTGGAAGTTTTCAACAAGTTGCAGCTTCTAACCAATAAAATCATTCTCCGTCGTACAAAGCTAGGCTTGGAGGAAGAATTGGGCTTACCCTCTAAAGTGGTTTATATTAAAAAGTGCATCTTCAGCCCAGAAGAGAATGAATTCTACATTTCACTATATACAAATACAAAAATGGAATTTAACAAATATATCCAGAAGATGGGAAGTGTCAACAATTTAAATTATGTTCACATTTTCGATTTATTAAACAAAATGAGGATGGCAGTTAATCATCCATACTTATTAATTCCTAAGAATGAGCGCACGGCATTCATCTGTGGAATTTGTAACGAAGAAGCAGAAAATCCAGTGAAATCCAAATGTAACCACTATTTTTGTATGAAGGAAGCAGAAGAGCTTTTTACCAATTCGGGTAGATATAATATTCAGAACTCTAACCTTAATGTTACAATCTGCCCAGTGTGTAAAATTCCACTAACAATTGATTTTAATTATACGGAGAATGGTATCGGAAGTAATTTGGGAACTACCAATTGGGTTACTTCTACAAAAATTGAAAAGCTTATAGAAATTCTGTATTCAACGAAAAATAAAAGGGAAATAATTGACGAAGATAATCTTCAGCAGCTTTCTCCAAGATCAGCACCGAAATCTATTGTGTTTTCACAATTCACTCAATTTTTGGAAATTTTAAGGTGGAGACTGGAAAGAGCTGGGTTTAGAGTGGTGAAAATATATGGAAGTATGACGATTACCCAGAGAGCAGCTGCCATAAAGGAATTTAATGAAAATCCTGATATTACTATTTTTTTAATTTCCCTAAAGGCTGGTGGTGTGGCTTTAAATCTAACTGCAGCAGAGCAAGTTTTCCTAATGGATTTGTGGTGGAATCCAGCTGTTGAGGAACAAGCTATGGATCGAATCCACAGGATTGGGCAGTTTAGACCCATAAAAATTTACCGAATTATTATTGAGAATTCGATAGAATCCAGAATATTGGCATTACAGCAAAAGAAGAGAGCATTATTCGAAAGTACCGTGGATAATGACCAAGCTGCATTACAGAGACTAACTCCTGATGACCTGATGTTTTTATTTAATTAATAACATCCACAATTAAATTATAACTTTTGAAGACACATTGGATGTATCATCAAAAACTATGGGAAATATTTACAAAAAATTCAAAGTATGAGAAGTTAGAAGGGAATAATATTGATAAGACCTCATTATCAAACAATGTATCTATAATAAATCATACTATAAAAATTAGGAAAAAAAATTTCTAAATTTATTCAGTTATTAGAGAATGTTGAAGTGTTTCATTCCAAAGAACCCCATCACTATCACCAATGATACTGCACTAATGAACATTATAATACTTCCTCTACCAGACCAATTACTAGTTGGTTTGCTCTCTGCTGTAGATTGAGTTGGATTAACATCAACTTCTGCAGGGACAGTAGGGTCATTTTTAACAAGAGATGAGATATTATTTGTCGGACCTAACTTTGGATTTACCAGCTGCTCATTCACAATTGGTAATGGTAGTGTCGATGCATCAAAATCTTTTTCTCCAAGTTCAATTTGAAATGAGCTGTTGTCACTCTCAGTAGTAACCCAACTAAACAACGCAAAGTTATCATTTATCATTAGTGGTACAACTTTTTGATATCTAAATTGATACCTGGTAGGTAATAGTATTGGATCACAAATCTGAATTTCGTTGAATTCATCAGCCATAAGCTTTGATAATTGTGGAGAAGGTTTGATTTTTGCTAACTCGTCGGCATCCATAAGTTTAAATGGAGATTCCTCTCTAGTATCACAAAAAACATTTTCCAGATCATCTAAGTCATATGACTTATTGAGATCATTAATATTGTAAAGGATGTATCTTTTGACATTCATACTACTTCCTAAACAAAGATTTAATCCTGTAGATTCTTTAATAGTACAATTTTGAAGTACCAACAATTCTCTAAAACCATTTGTTAATAAATATCGACCAGGTGTTTCATCAATTGGAATCTTGTCAGTAACATTATATTTGTAGATTGAACTTAATACTGATTTAAGGGCGGGATATGTTTTCTTTATACAATTGTCACAAATGGAGATTTCATATTTCTCAATTTCATATTCCTTGTTTTTTAGTTCTAAGTTATTAATAAAACAGTTTCCTAATAAAGAATAGTTCTTATTCTGGGGAATAATGTTTACATAGTCAAATTTCTTCTGTAAATCCTTAAATTTACAACAATATTTTGATTCTGTAGTAGCATCAGTAACTTTAATCAGATTGAACACATCAAGTTTGAAATTTCTTATTGGAAATTTCACCACTTCCTTCGAATCAAGAATTGGATGTATTTCACCAGTTGGAGACTCTGAGGTACTACAAAATTCAATTTGTAAGGCTTTATCTTTCATCAATATATCATAGGGTTTAATGATATCACAACCATAAATTTCTCTAGTAACGAGTGGTGCTCCTTGCGGGAAAATTTTCCCGCATAATTGGGCATAGTCTTTCAGATCCATACTTCGCTTATTAATTTCAGTGAGATCCATCAATGATACTTCCGTGTCATTATCAAATGAAGACCAAGGATGAATCTTGTTGGTTTGAGAATCAATAGCTACTACTTCATTCAATGCATCCCTTCCTATAATGTACATACCTTCTTTAATCTTTAAAACGATGAATTTCTTATTTTTGGTGAACAAATAGAGATTTTGGATGTTATTGTTCGTATCTGTTATATTGTATGGCAATTCCATATTTATATAGTCAAAAAACATCCTATTTTTTATTTTCTTAAGAAGTGGAATATGTGCAATACAGTTTAAACATCCGCTTATAGTCGTAGTATTACGATACTGATGTTTCATGTAATATAATAATGATTCTGGAAAATATAAAGCTGCATACAGTGCATAAGGATCTAATTCTTTGAAAGACTTTATTCCAGGATACCTTTCAATTAAATGCTCTAAGAAGAATACCGGATCTCTATAGTCAATGAAATTAATCAGGGCTGAATTTTGCATAAGGGAGCAGGAATTCCTACCAATTTGACATTTGTCATTATTTTTTGAAGATGTATCCATTACAACATTTAAGACTCTAAATTTTGTATAAATACCTCGAGATCGTTTATCAATAATATATGGGCTGTCAATATCTGATTCGTATCATGGTAAACCACAATATATGTGGTAAGAAAAATATATGGAACGATCTTAAGCTGTTGAAATATATTCTCATTTTGGGTATCGATAAAAAACCATTTTACATGTAAAATTCCTTCTCCTTTTCTATTAAGGAGCGTTGTTAATTAGTATTATCGTGGCGAAAATGGTTAAGTGATTAAATCAAATGAAATTATTAATAGGGGTATGTAATAGACAAATGGAGTCCGATTCATTGATGTCAGTCAGATAAATGGATTTAATAATAAGAGAATAAAAATATGATGGTTGGATCAAATTCAATGATTTTATCTACACTTTGATCATTTTATGGCGAATAATTTAACTCATCAAATGATCTATAAAGAGAAAATCATATTTTAATTGATATGAATAAAAATAAACTGAAGGAGAATAGCATTGAGAGCATTATTTATTTCATTATGTATCTCTATACTAAATCCAATATTTCGAAGCCATTATCATTACTTCCTAATAGAGCGGTGCAATATAATCTACCCTGAATACAGGAGTGGCTTTGTATTAAAGAATGAAGATGATTTGTGCGAGTTTGATGACTTTCAAATAGATACTTCACCAAAGAAAATTGTTTCAAATATCTATTTGATTGATCAAAATTGTGACAAGCTTAATCACTGTTGTTTCCACAACTGTAATTTTGAAAATATTGTTGATATCCAAATATATTGACTTAAGTGATTATATTTCAATATCCCAGTTAATCGACGATGAATTTCGTTGTGGAGCTGAAATGGTTTCATTCACTAATCACAAAATGTTAGAATATGAAAGTGCTCAAGTTGCAGAAGATAGGTTTATTTCTGCAGATTTAGATTTGCTAAGCCATTTTGTAACGGAGTGTTACCATAATCTACCAAATTTTAAACCAAAGAAAATTAGCTTTGTTATTATACCAGCTAAGGTTGTATCAGAACATAAGACTACTTGTTGAAAAAGAATTCCATCCTCACATTTCTATCTAGCCATGAATAATGACTAAGTTATAATATACATATTGATTTTTACAAGGTTTACGAAAATATGCTCATTGGCCGGATACTCTATATTATGAGGAGAAACATCTCATGATGATCAGAGTTCATGAAATATTTGAATCTTTTTATACTAGTTTTTCATAGCTAGATTTGATTTTCTCAACTTTTTATCCCCTGAAATGTCTGCTACATTGGAGAAAATTAAAGAAATCGAAACGGAAATGGCTAGGACTCAGAAAAATAAGGCAACCTCCAACCATTTGGGACTTCTAAAGGCAAAGTTAGCAAAGCTAAGGAAAGAACTGATTGCTCCTGTGAAGGGAAGCACAAATACAGAAGGAGGATTTGATGTATCGAAGACTGGGGTTGCCAGAATTGGATTCGTAGGATTTCCAAGTGTAGGAAAGAGTACCCTAATGTCAAAGTTGACTGGAGTTGATAGTGAGGTGGCCGCTTACGAATTTACTACACTGACAGCTATTCCTGGCGTAGTACAATATAATGGAGCAAAGTTACAGATCATTGATTTACCAGGAATAATAGAAGGTGCTAAGGATGGGAAGGGGCGAGGAAGGCAAGTTATTGCAGTTGCTAAAACATGCTCCTTGATTATTATATGTCTTGATGTGACACGTCCCATGACACACAAGAAAATTATCGAAAGGGAATTAGAGACATCGGGTATTCGACTCAATAAACAACCACCGAGTATCAAGATAACTAAGAGAGACAAAGGTGGTATTAACTGTACTGGTGGAAGTTTTGATATCGAGTTAATTAAGAATATTTTACATGAGTTTAGAATTAGTAATGCTGAGGTCAACATTCAGGGCAATCCCACTATCGATGAATTTATAGATTCAGTGGCAGGAAATAGAAAATACATACCTGCAATTTATGTTCTAAACAAGATAGATGCAATCTCAATAGAAGAATTGGACATAATTTACCGTATTCCTCATGCTGTTCCCATAAGCGCAGATAAATGCTGGAATTTTGATACCTTGATGAGGAAGTCTTGGGAATATCTTAACTTCACAAGAATATATCCCAAACCAAAGGGCAAAGAGGTGGATTATGAGGAGCCAGTGATTTTACGCGAAAAAAAAAGAACTGTTGCAGACTTTTGCAACTCTATTCATAGGCAAATCTTGTCAAAGTTCAAATATGCTATTGTGTGGGGTACATCAGTTAAACATCAAAAGCAAAAGGTAGGGAAAGATCATGTACTGAATGATTGCGATGTGGTGCAAATAGTTAAGGGTGTTTAACCAATAAATATTTTAAATTAAGAAATACTTTTTCGTGTTTTTGAAGCATTATGAAACTAATGGTATTTTAGTATAGCTAAGCATCTATCTCAGTTTAAATATATAAATGTTTATCTGCAAAGATTATTTTATCAAAGGACAGTTTATTGGTAATAGGGAACTTCTTCTGAAGCATATAGATATGTGATAAAACATATCGCATACATATCAACTGTAGATACAAATGGTTTTATATCACACTTTCCAAATCCTCTTCAGATGTATAGATTTTAATTTATCAACTTTCAAATATAATATTGGAAAATACAAATTATCATTAGAATTACACTCAATTTAGAAGATGAAAATGTTTTTTGCCTAAGCCTCTATTCCAGCATATTATACTAAAAAATCTTAAATGGTACAATCAAATAAAAGGTCAATATCAAATTGAACGTCATAGTACTTTGTAGGCTAAAATAACATTCTATTATTTGAAATTGCTCTCTAATAGATTATTTAGAAATTAAGAGTATAACATACTATGCTTGAACCACTCTATCTTTAAAATATAATTTATCATTCATGTATTTATGGCAGTACCAATAATATTCATCCATTTCCACATTATAGATAAAATTGGAAAAATAATCGATATTCCATTTGAATTTTTCACCCTCCATATGGATGATACTTGGAAATTTTATCAACATGGAAATGCCGAAACAACTACCAAGACATGGCTGGATTCGATAGAATGTGTTGGTGAAATCAGCACCATTCCAGAATTAATGTATGTCATTGACCATTTAAGAGAGTTGAGATTGGAGGAGATTAATGATACATACTTTTTTAAGAATTCTATAATGCCTGAGTGGGAAGATGGTGCAAATATAAATGGTGGGAGAATAGTATTAGAAATTAACAAGACGGATGGAAAGAACAAGGCTGGGATTGAGGAGGATATAGCCTATAACTCTGAACTTTTTGAACTTTTTCGGTCTACTCTTGCATTCTGTGCCACTGGAGCCTTTCCAAACATTTGCGGGATGGTATTTAACGAAAAGGATAAGTCCTATAGAATCAGTTTGTGGATTGCAGACTCCGAGTTTCAAGCAGAGATTTCTGATGCCTGGAAAAGTATTCTAGGAAGTCGATTTTTGGTATTTTCTTATATACCGCATAGAAAAAATGGAGATTACTCGAAGATGAAGAAAAGATTTGTTAATCGTAAGTAAATTTAAAAGAGTATTGGTTAGTTAAGTATCTTTAAAAACATGCACAATGGTAGGTGTTGCTTTTTTAGCTCTTGTTCAAAAGAGTGACTCTTTTATAATTAATGTGTATGTGTAAAATTTATATTTTATAGTAAATTATTTAACCCTCTCATGAAGACCAACATTTTATTTACTGAAGAAGAATTCTGCAAGGAGTTGCCAGACGAAATCTTAAGAATTGTAAACGAATATTTCGACGAAGAAGATAATACCGCAGATTCAGCAAATAGAAAACTGAGCAATTATTTGCCAGAGTTGCCAATTTTGAAGCAAATTTCCAAAATGGAGAGTCTCCTGATGAAATATATTAATCACAAATTCATCCCCAACAGTAAGAGTAGTTTTGACTATAACAAAAGCCATAATTACAATAAAGATTTATTAGAAGGTATTAATGTGGAACAAAAGAATAAAAAGAAAAAGAATAAACAAAAGAAATGTGACTGAAAATCGAACTTGATATATCAGAGAGGTAATAGTTGGAGTGTTTACTATCCCATCGAAATAAATGAAAGCTCTCATTTCAATCAATGTATGATGCTAGCCCAATAAGCTTTATTTATATAGTGGACATGATTGCATAAAATTTTCCTCATTAATGTTTATACACCAAGAATCAGCTACATATGAGATACTATCGGCTTAGAAATACTTTGGTGCAGTTAGTTTTGCAATTTGAGAAATAATTAAAGGTTTCACTTTTTTGTTTCAAGCTTTTTAAACCTTGAAAAGATCAGATTAGAAAATGGTGGAAAGAAGACGAATTAGAGGGGGACGATATTCAACACAAGCTGTTACTGCTGAGCAATTAAAAGAGATCTTGAATAGTACAATGGAAAACGAAGTTTCTAAAACCATGGAAGTCTTAGATGCAACCTATCTAAACAACTCCAGTATGAAAATGGTATCATTTAAAGGGACTACTGGGTCTGATTTGAGCAAGAATCATGAATATAAAGTGGACACGAAGACCATGACCAATATAATTGAAGATAGTAGAGATTCAATCAAAAAATCTAAAGATAATGCTGGGACTAAAACATATATAATTCATTCAAACACTGGAAAATTAAGCTCCAATAAACACCATGATATAAACGATACAAATTCAGATGACATATTTGGCAATAGTATGAATATTCAACCATATTCGTTTGACCATATATTGTCATTATATATTTCTCAACCAGAAAGTAATAATACGTTGTACAAGGAATTCATAGATGATTTTATTGACCTTGGCCCTACACCTGAGAACGTAATAAAGGAAAGTGAAAACAAAAAATAATATTGTAGAAGATATATACGAGAATATATCAGCTGATCTCTCCAATAAATGATACAGAATTTTAATAAATTTAGAGAACTTGACAACAATATTGTATACATACCTAAACAACATATAGTGATAAGAAATATATGAACCATTTATATCCGTATTAAAAATTATATTATACCATATGTATAGGCTTTCCACAATTTCGAGAATATTCTATCGAAATCACTAAAATCATTTTTTTTAACAAAACATTCTCTACCTAGGAAAACATTCGTGTCCTTAAGATATAAAGGTATTTTATGATTACTAACATCGTTATAGTTTGTCATATTGTGATTTTCTTTCAAATTCAGGTTAAAGTTGTCAAAATCCATCCCATACACTTCTTCCAGAATTATCCCATCTTTAAATTTCGATTCGACAACCCTTTCGAATTTAACCAATTCAATTTTTGTAGATATGTTTTCAGTATATAATACTTTTAAGTGCTGTAAAACTGATTGGTACACATTATCTATGTTAAAACCATCCATAGCTGATTTGATCCTTTCTTTATCACTTCTTTGAATAATTCTAATATTTTTTTTAAGTTTGTTCGAAATGGGAATATTATCAATTGAATTGGTATCAGTTGAGTCGTCATATGGATATTCATTAGTTGATTCAACTTCTTGATCAATATTTTTTTGATAAATCATACTGCTCCTTTCAATTTTGATCAACAGGTCATTTTCATGATTATTAATAATGAATATATTTCCAATATCTGTATTTTCCTTGAGAATTTTGGAAGGTGAATTGTGATTAAAGAAATCAAGATCAATAAGCATAGAACTGCTAATTGAGGAAATATGATCGTTAAAAGAATTCAAATGGATGTATGAGCTATTATCAATTGATTTATCACTCTTTGGTATCTCATAAATCAGTTGATAATTAAACCCATTGAATGTCAATGAAATTTTGAAATACAATCTATTATTGACAGTGGTACCATTGTTAATAGAAATACCGGTATATTTGTATTCCTTACTAGCTATAAATTTCTTCAATACATCTTTAACCTTCATTCCTGAATTATATATCTCTACAGGAATGTTTTTAATATAAACCTTTCCAGGAATGAATTTCAGAGAGATGTTGATTTCGGGAAATTTTGTTAGTAGTGATTGGGTATCTATTGCATAGAGGATATTCATAAGGGTGTTTCTACACTCATCTTTATAATAATTTTTATTACAAACTCCTGGATTTTTTAATAGAACTGAATAATAAGAAGTGTTACCAATGGTATATTGGTTAATATTGCCATTACCTATGATACTGCCCATATTACTACTATTCAGATAGGTTATTTTGTTTTGTAGAAATTCTACTTCTTCGTTTTCGTCTAGCATTCCAGATACTATTAGTGTTTGCCTCTGACAAATTCTAGGAGCTTGCTCAGACTTAGCTAGTTTTAATGGAGAAGAGAAAAATAAACTCAGCTTCCTAAAAATAGCAACATCTAAGCAAAGGGCAATTCCTAGAGAAAATAAAGCATTGTCGTTTAGAGAAAAGAGTACTTTGGTGAAATTAATGGTTAAAGAATTATTATACACATTTCCCATATTGTTGCCCCATGGATTACAGCCAATGTCAAGTTTGGTATTAATATGCTTTAATAAATCTACCACCTTATTAATTTCTTCTATGGAATAGATTTTTGTTATTAGTAATAAATTAAATGCATCTCTAAAAATTGGAACTCTGTGAAGCTCTAGAGAAGAAAAAAGGGAATTTAAACGGCTTACATCTGCTTTTGCAAAGATCTTACCATCAACAACATTATTGGTAACTAAGTTGTTAGCTGATGCATTATTTAGTACTTCATTGCCACTAACATCATTTTCCAGTAATATGTTAGAATTAAATGCACATACAGAGTATTTTCCTTCATCCCAATAAGCATTGCTGCCTATAATTACTTTCTTTACCAATCTATTTAATTTATAGCTATTATTTGTAAGAAACATATTGGATTGAATTTTATCTCTACATTCATCAAAATTATCTGCAAATATGCTAGTATTATTAGTATATGTGCTGATAGTATTTCTTAATTCTTTCTGTATAATAGGATCCTTACTAGTAAACAAAGATCCCTCATCTTTTAAACTAAATTTAGATAAAAGTGATAGAATATCAAAATGATAATTAACAGCACTATTCCTAATACTATTAGTAT